GCGCTTTGTCGTTTCACGTGCGGCGAATCCCGCGGCGCCGTCAAAACTTATCGGAAGAAAAAAAAAATAACTAGAACTATACATTCCAGTCGCATTCGTTCTGTCGCGCGCGTACCCAACAAAAATAGTTTACTTTTTTTTTTGTTACTTTTTTTGTTTTTTCAAATGTGGCGCAATGCTTTCTCAATATCCTTGGGAAAATACATGTACCATGAAACACAAAATATAGCGGGAAAAGACGAGAATTTAGCCGCCAGCAGCGTTTGAAGCTGCGCCTACGCAGGCTGCGCCTATTGAAATCAGTCCAGTCAGTTAGGGTTAGGAGGGACGCCAGTGAGAGTCTAGCCTCAAACTCAGTGACTGGGCTCGAAAACGGTTTGTTGCCCCTGGGGTCGAGTGTTTTTTGGAAAGGTGCTTTATCTTTCGACTTTGATTTAGCATTGTGGAGGCCACGAAAGGGAAATTAGAAACCGACCGCCGCCCCCCCCCCCCCCTCCCCTCCCCTCCCCTCCCCTCCCCCCCCCCCCCCCCCCCCCCCCCCCCCCACCTTCCCCCGCCATGGAAACAAATACGACTTTCGAGGATTAGCTTCCCCCCTCCGATGGATACAAAGGCTGCTTTCAGGGGCTCGGTTCCCCCTCCAATGAATACAAAGGTCGCTTTCTTAAAAAGTGGGATCGGAGACGAGTTCGAACCCATTGAAGCGGAAAAAGGAGCGTTTCCAGTGAACGCTTCTTTCGACTGCGGACAGATTTGAAACGGGTGCATCACGCTTGTGGGAGGAGCTTCTCCTACCTTCTTGACTTGTAACCAGCCACCGAAGCGGCTGCTTTTGTACGAATTTTGAGTGACGAGTTAATCTTCTATAATCTTGTAGAGGGACAATAGCGACTTCTGGGTCAAACAAAAGGCGTTCTCGGGAAGAGGGGAGTTCCTCCTTTCCCTCTTCTCTCGTCGTGGCCGGAGGCGAGACAGTTACCGTCACTACCTCTCAAGGTTCCTAGACGGGTATTACAAACGAGGGGTTAGCGACATCCCCCAGGTGCTCTTTGCTAATCGTTTAATTCGTTTTAAAATTCCTTTTCGTGACTTTTTTAACAAGATATTGGTGTGTTCGATGTGATACTTCTCTTTTTTCTCTTTGCTCTAAAATCTTGCAACATATGCAGCTCAGTGATATAGGGCGATAATTCTCTACATTGTGTTTTGATCCGTGCTTATGGATTGGCGTAACACACATCATCTTCCATTGACCTGGGAGTACACTTTGTTCTAGCGATTTACAAAAAAATAATCCCTACGTAGCGAGACACAACAAATGAGCATAATTTTAAAACTCTCGGTGATAAACCATCGGGACCTACAGCCTTTTTAATATCAAGCTCATCTAAGCACTTCTTTATCCCTTCTACACTGATGGCGACCGGAGGCATTTGATTCACAATTTGTTCATTGAGAGGGGGGTAAGAATGAGTTCTGACGCTGGAGGCAAAAATAGGGGCTGGAAGTATGTATTAAAACAGCTTGATTTTTTGTAACTTTCTTCAATTACTTCCCCAAGGTAAAATATATTTGGAATTCCCATGTTCTCCTTACGCGTCTTTGTGAGGTATTTTCAAAATTCCTTGCTTCTAAGTCGCATGCCATCGGGAAGTTTATCAAAATACTCGCGTTTTGCAGTGGTAATAGCTTTCCTTATAGGTTACATTCAGTTTCTCTAGATCTGCGGCTGCCGATATGCATGGGTGTAATCTATAATTTTTATACCCACGTCTGCGCTTTTTTATCACCTCTTTTACGGCAGCTGTCATCCAGGGCTTATCATTCATTGCTTTTGCACGTATTATTTTAACGGGAACATATTTTCCTATTAATTCCAACAAACGATTTTTGAAAAATTCCCATGTAGCGTCTACACTGTTTTCTAGAGCGAAAAGCTCGAAACCTTTAAAAGATTCAGTCAGCCCTTTCTCGTGCTGACTTGTCCGTCCATTCTCGGTCGTGGGCTAAAGCAGGCAATTTTTTAGTTGTTCAATGCGTGGCCATGCTTCTTGTTTGTTTTCTTGTGAGCTAGGAGTTTCTCGAAAAATACTTCAAGATATGGCAATTTCACCGTGTCTGCGGCTCTGGGTTATAATTTATATAGTAAAAAAAGTAACTAACTGCCTAAACAGTTAACAGTTACCCAATAAAAAAAAGTAAGTGTTACAGTTACAAGTATTAAAGAGTAACGCATTACACGTAAAAGTTACCAAAAAAAAGTATTTAGTTACCGGTAACGCATTACTAGTAACTAGTTACTGCCCAAGACTGCCTGTGCATGGGGTGCAGCGTGTCATTCATTGTAGGCTCATTGCCGTATCCTGTATATAAAGTGGCAGCGGTGTTTTCCAACGTATACATTCATGCTGTGCAAGGGTGACTCGTACCACTGAGTATGAAACATTCAGTTTGTTTCATTTTGTGGCTTGACAGGAAGAGTGGCAAACATAATACAACCATTAAGTTTAGGTAAATTTTTATTGACCCCTGATGTTTATGATGTTTAAACAAATCACAAGTAAGAACAAGGTGCCTGAAAACAAATGTAGACTACGACTATACAGGGTGTTTCACGAAAAGTGGACAAACTCGATATTGCGAAAACGATGCATTGCAACAAAAAAGACTTGTCGTTTTGTTCCTGGGTCAGGAACCCATTTAGGAAAATTATTATAAAGTATGGGATATTTAAGTTGTTATTTTTTCGTAATTAACTTTTTTAATACTGTGTTTAAGGGCATGCTTTTAATTGGAAAATTGCTGAGCATCATCGAAAAACACTAAATCAATAAATAGCAGAATGATAGAAGGCAGGCACAGCATTTTACGGCTTCCTGAAAAACTGCCAACCCTTGACAATTTTTTTTTTTTTTTTTTTTTTTTTCGGTTTGCATTCGGAGCGCTTTTTGGCCCCGATGGAACCGCGCCCCGTAGAGAAATAGTGCACGTTTTAAGAGCTGCTTCTTTTTTTTTTTTTTTTTTTTTTTTTTTTGCACCGCGCCAAAGCAATAGACCTTATTCAGATTCGTGCGCCATCTGTCGGACGTGGCGCCAACCTTCCTTCCGACGCCATCTTTGAGGCGACTGGCAAAGCGCTGTGGCCGTTTGCGGCGCGTGAAAGCGACGCGCAGCGACCGCACGACTGCTCTGTTCCGCTATTGTATTCAACGAGGAAATAAAATGAAAAAAAAAACGATGTAAAGATTCAGGTCGTATTGTTTTCTTTTCAAGTTAAAGGTATTATAGCCAATGTTTTAATAGCCGTGCTTTCCTGCACTACTCATGCTCCTAAAAAGAGCACCCGCGCGTTAGTGCTGTGTGCTTTTACAAGGCTGTTAAACCTTTTTTTTTTTTTTAACATATGACACTTTCCACAGTGGCATGAAGGGCTCATGATATTTGCATGTAACAACAGCGAGCATCTATTATTTTCTGTGATTTTTTGGGAGCTCGATGTTGGCTAGCATCGTAGCTTCGCTCGCACAGAGGAACGGCGAGGTCAGTCAACGTTACTCAGATACACCGGTTTAAGATTTTTTTTTTTCTTTTTCTCGCTCAAGTAAGTCTGTTACATCCAATTGAAGGCTGATGCAAAAAGAGCTAGGCAACGCAACAACTTCGTTTAGCACATGAATGATAAAGACAACGGTGCTAAAGAGCAAAGGTAAACGCCCGCTTACTTTACGCTGTATCATTATTATTACTCGACTCTCAGATTTCGAGAAACATTTTCAAGATGTGGACGAAAGCATAGAAGCGGGCTCCTTCTTGACTGCTAACCTGGACCTGTTGGCGAGTTTAACAGTCCCGTTTGCTCGCTTCCCAACAGATCGGGTTTGCGCTGGGGGAGAAGCTTTTTTGTTTGGAGCCAATACTGCAAGCAGCTACTTTTATGGGCACTGGTCATATTCCATTGCGAGTAAGCATGAAATTTAACTCTACGTGACCGCGCTCCCAGGAGGAGCTCATTAAAATGTCGCTGACATTTATTAATGCATTTTCTCTCACGGGGCTAAACAGTATATATGTGCCAGTACTGAATTTATTTGTTAGTATTATTCTTATGATTACAAAAGGAAAATGTTCCAACTTTCCGTAAAATCTTTTTTTTTTTTTTTTTGATTTCTCATACGTTATGTTCCGCATACTTGTAGTGCGGCAACTCGCTGGTCATTCCCTTTTACGTTTTTGTGCCTCGCATATGCTTGGGTGAGCATGGTAGTGTAGATCTTCAGCGAAGTTTTTTTTTTTAATTTTTTACCTGCAATAAAAAATACTACTATCGTAAATTCGTGCTGTCTCACACGCACTCCTTATTATGATGTTTTGAGCTACCATTCGATGATCTCCCCAAGCAACTAAATAAAAATTGATGTAATAAATTCTTTTGTCTTTTTTTTGTGTGTGTGTAATCATATCTTCAATATTCCTAAGGTTAAGAAAACGGGGAACCAAGATTAAACGCTCAACGCCGCAATCATAGAACTCTGCAATTCGGGTCTGTACACGCTGGATAAATGCGCACTGGGTGAAGAAGTGCTCGCATTATTTAGACCTGCAGCCGCAAATGCCAAATAAAAACAAACTGCCACACAGTAGCTGACGGCTCTGCTAAATATATCATATAAATCGTCTTTCTGCGAACAGGCATAATCGGCTGATCAGGCAACTTAACGCACGATCCTAAAACAAGTGCGTGAGTCGGCCTGCTATGGTGATAGAATGAAGCTCATTTTTATAAAAAGAAATTCCTAGTGAAATAGCTGGAAACAAACTTGAGCTTAATATACGGAAGTTATTCTCGAGCAACTAACACCATCAATATACTAAAAAAATTAATAAAACGCAGAAACATGCACGAACGCAACGCTGGGAGAGCGGTTCGTATACTGCGGCTGGCTGCGGGGAGGCGAAGCCTCAAAGATGGCACCGAACCTTTGATAGTACCCGTGGCCACCAAGAGATGGCGCTAATAATGAATAAGGTCTATTGAATGAACATGTTTATTCTGTCCCCATACTCTTACCCGACCCTATCAACTATTTTTCGCGAAGACCGCGGGCCGCAGTGGCACGCAGCCCGTGTCGCCGCGGGCCACCTCCCCGTGTTCCGCTGACCCCAGTGACGCCACTGCCCAGACGTCACAAATTGCAGCATTGGTGTTGATCCAGTGTGTTAACCCAAGGGCTTGCGGGCCATAAGCAGGAAGAATTGAATCTTCACTTCGATCGGTGTCGACTCTGGTGTGCTTTGCTCTGTAGAGAAGTTGTCCATCAGCCTATGAGAAAAAAACACGAAGTGGTAGTAATTACAAGGAAATATATTATTGAAGTTACCATGTGATCATGCCAGAAGCAGACTTGAGTGACGCTCTCGCGCCCCACCCCCACCCCTCGCCCCCCATGCCCATCAAAATTATTTAGATTTTTCGAGGCGATTTCTGACATGTTTGCCATCTAAGAAAACTAAAAACTGTGAAATGTCACTAACAGACAAGAATTTTTGGAATACGTGCGACTTCCACGGAGTGCAAGTTGGTCTGCTTCTTGAGCAGGGGTTGCGGTCAAGTCAGAATGCCGAGTTCTGATAGGCTCTGATTGGAAAGATTGTGTACAGACCTCAATGCTAGCTGCCTTGAGGTCTACCCACCATCCTTCCAATCAGAGCTCTGCGTTTGGACGTCACCGGACCCCTGCACAAGACGCAGACAAACTTGCGCTCCACAGAGGAGTGTGAAACCGCATCAAAATGGGTGCGGTTGAGCACATCAGCGCCAAACTTACACTGAAGTCAGTCTCTTTATGAGACTCTCCGCCTCGGCGGGCTCTTCATTCAAGAAGACCTGGTAGCTAGCCCAGCTGCGGATGTAGTTGACGTAGTGGGCCACTGTCTGCACCTTCCTGTCTTCGATGCAGTTCACTCTGAAAGCAAAACAGCCGGCACATCGGGTACCCAAAGATGCCACCAATTATCAAAGACTTTTCGCATTCCTCAAGATTCCCTCACGCAGATCTAACGACCTGTGCCGTCTGGTGACGGTTCTGCCTCGCTCGTTTGAAGGGACACTAACAGGCTATTTATGATCCTCATGGTTTTTACATGTCCATGACACACGAGAGCCCAATTACCCAAAGCACAATTTGCAACTCGAAATTCTTCTTTTTTTTTTTTTCCCCCAAAAATTGTTGATTAGGAATTGGGCGATTTGAGTTGCACTCACTCTCTTCTCCGTGGTCACGTGCCATCTTCTATGGTTTAGACACAACCACCAAAGATAATCAAAGTCGTGGGTCATCGAAGGCAAACACTCAATATTGAAAATAGAAAAGAACTGTGATAACCATTTTTTGTGGCTTCTAAAAAGCTGCAAATATGTTCATTGAAAAAAAAAAAAAAGTAGCACAGCCACGTGACTTGCGGTAACTTTCTGCTCCTCTATATTTCTTCTTCCTTCCCGGTCCAGTTTCGGTTCTGAGCAGTTGCGTTTTTTTACTTTATCAAAAATATATGCGACGCTGTAGCAAAATATTCATTGGGTAGTCTTCTGACACCATTATAGATCGCCTGGCAAGACAAAGTGTTTTGGGGGATGTCGGTGTCCCTTTAAGTGCTTCATCTTCCAATGTTTTGAGTGTTTCAAATTGGAATTTTTTTCCACAAACCCCACAATGTCTTCAATAAATATGTTGTTGCATTTGCTCCTTGTTTTATGCATTCCTTATAAAAAGGGAAATAAGTTTTCCTCGTTTTATGTATTTCTCATAAAAAAAAATACAGAAATAATTCTTCCTAGTTTTATGCATTCTTTATAAAAAAAAAAAAAAGAGAGAAATAATTCTACCTTACATGTAGAGCAAGCTGGACCATCAAGCGCTGTTTCTTAGAGATGGCCACCACTGCATTCGGACGACAGCCAATATGCAGCTTTTAAGTGCTACGTCACTAATCTTTTTTAATCTTTGATTTTGATACATATAAGCAAGCGTATTTGCACTAGGCATAAAGATGGGAGATGTTGTATAAGCAAGGGTAAGGATATCCTCCCAAGACTGCGAGAACAAAGACGTTGAAATATTCTGAAAAGGACAGTTACTGTTCGTCGAATTGGTCAGTTCGAAGCGCAAAAATGTGTTTCTAAAACGCACGACTGGATGTCTGCATGTCCACACTAACATACTTCTCTCCCTTTTTTTTTTCTTGTGTATCAGCCTAAACCATTTTTTGACATGACATGAGTCTCCTCTTACCGGACATGGTCCTCCCAGGGAAGAGGTATTCCCTCGTACAGGTTGTCGGTCACTGTTTTCTTCTCGCCCCAGTACTTAGCCCCAGCACCCATGTTCAGCAACTGTAACGATGCAGGCATCTCAGACTGGAGGTAAGTTGGGAGGAAAGTTGAGTTGAGTTCAATTCATATGCAAATCATAGTTAGGCCTGCCTCTCAGTTGCTCTCTCAGACGCCCGCGACATCAAATTTCTCTGACCCCCCCCCCCCCCCCCCCCCCCCTCCCAAAATCCTGACTCGTAATTCCGCCCCTGCATCCAAGTGACTCTAGGCTCCAAAATGGTTGCCGCCATATTTCCATAAAATTCCCTTCCCAATTTTTTTTAAATATCATTGAACGCCAGACCCTGCCCCATGAGCAGGAGGCGCTCTTGCTCGCTCTGACTGACAGTGGGTAGAGAGACAAAGGCAGCTAGCCCTTGCATCTATACCCACCAGTCTCCAGTCGGAGCTCGGCACTTTGATGTCACCGAACGCTCTCATCTCCTCCTCTACTTCAGTTTCTTTCCGCATACATTGTTTTACTTGAGTCCCTGAAGACCCGTTCACACACTTGCAGCCAAGTAGGACCGACCTAGACAACACCGTTTTTTAAGCCTCTTGCGACGACTCGGGACCTGCTCCGCAGCAGTGCATCGGTCCTACGCCGTCGCAAAAGGCTTGAAAAACGGTCTTGTCGAAGTAGGTCCTACTCTGTTGTAAGCGTGTGAACGGGCCTTTAGAAATTCTGACTGAAAAGAGGCTCACTTACTCCCAAAAACTCCTTTTTTTTTTTATGAGTTGTTTAGTAACATATGCGGTGAGACAAGGCAGCGTTCCCTCACGTCGTGCAGCAGCTTGTCTAGCCTGTCCTGGTCTTCGGCCACGGGCGTCGGCGTGGCATAGGCGTAGACGGCGAGGACACCTCCTGGTACGAGCACCCTTTCCGCCTCTGCATAAAACTTTTCCCTGTCGAACCACAGGAGACTCTGGCTTGCCGTGACAAGCTGCACCGAGCTGTCGGCTTCTGGAAGGCACTCCGCACTGGCCACGCTGTTGGCGGATGCAGGATGTAATCAGAAGTAGAAAAATGGAGAGTCTCGTAGCCTGCACATGGCGACCATTTTTACAAACCATTAAACCGTTCAAATGATTGTCTTCTGCACGCCGCCATCATTGTCTACTGGACTGTTCTGAGCGTGCGCAGTATCTTTTTTGTGCAGAATATCAGACTTTGTGCATGCATCCGCAGGTCAGTGATCCGGTATCTTTCATGTCTTCTGAATGTGAGGGCTTCCTAGACGCTGCGGTGACTTGAAAATAATGTTTATGACCTGTGCTAGAGCACTGCATGGGCCAGAATTTCTAGGCCCAACCCGGCCCGGTAGAGGCGCGCTCTGTCCCGAGCCCTATAGAAAATCTGATTTCTAGGCCCGGCCCGGAAGAGACACTGCCCGGCCCGGGTCCGGCAGAATTTTTAGACAAACTTGAGGCTGGCCCGAGCCCGACAAATTTTTTTAAATATAAGCCTGAGCTCGGCCCGAGCCGAGCTCAGGCCCAACTGAGCCCGAAAATGTTTGCAGCCCGAAAAAGTGTGCAGGCTTTAACCCAAAAACTGTCTAAGCATAAAGCGAGCATATTTGATTTAAATTTCTTTAAAACTTGGACAGAGTTTTTTTGACCTGATAAATATCACGACTTAGACCATACACTTTCGAGAATATGAAAAAATATGCACTTCATAAGTGACTTTGAGAAAAAGAAAAAAAAAGGGGGCAATATTTTATTTATACATTTTTTGGAGATATTGGACTTTTCATTGTTCAATTCGTTTCCCATATAACTTTCCTCTCCACACGTTTTTGTGAAGAAACAATCACGCTAGTGCATCTTCAAAAGGCTGCAAGCATAAAATTATATATGGTACTTAGCTTATCTTTGGTAGCATAGTAAGGGCCCCTACACAAAACGCAAAGTTAAGCTCGCTTTTTTTTTTTTGAAAAGCAGAGGGAAAAGACATTTATGTTGTACCCTGCAACCGGAGTGCCTCGTTTTCTTGACTGCACTTTCCCACTATGCTGGAGGAATCCATATGTTTCCTTTTATCCACATGAAGGATTTCCAAATGCAAAACATCTTTTTTTTTTTTTTTTTCAGCGGCATTGTAGTGTTTTTGCATTTCGCTTGTTTGTTTTCATTGAACCTAAAAGATCAATGAGCACAGTTTTTGTTGTCAACAATTTAGAATTTACGGCACACGACTGCCAAGCCACGGCCCGTAAAATATTTTGTTCAGGCCCGAGCCTGAGAAAATGCGTGCTACCTGGCTCAAGCCCGTGCAGTGCTCTAACCTGTTCTCCTGTCCCGAGCACAGAGACAAGAAACGGGTGCCAACACAGTCATGGAGCGAGAAGTCAGTCAGCCCATGTGGGTGTCTCTACTACGGTTTATTTCTGCTGCAGATGAGAAATTCAGCCAGCGCACTTAGTGCAGTACCACAGCTAGCTTAGGGTCCAACATGCAATGCGCAGTAGTGATAACACGATCGCACGCTGGTACAATGCTCATCCATATCCGTACAACACCGCCTACACTATAAAAAAAGCCCACACGTCTACTTTTCCACACAACACTCACAACTTTCCCGCAAGTTACGGAGGCAGCTTAGCGGATGACGATGCCGAAACATATGTTGCGACCAAAAACCCACCGAGTTGCGACATTAAGCAATGCAAAACGTCACACTTGCATTGCTTAATGTCAACTCAGACTGAATTTTTTGGTCTAAACATATGTTTCGGCCTCAACATTCGCTGAGCTGCCTCCATAAGTTGCGGCGACGCACGGGCTTTTTTTAGAGTGTAGAATAAGGCTGTGCAATGGAATTTTGTTGTCATCACAGTGAGATCTAGTGAAGACACCAATTGGACGCAAGTGTTGCGTCAGCGTTCGGCTGGGCCTCGTTTCCAATTAACGCGTCGAAGGACACTCGGCGTCAGACTCGGGTCCAATGGCCGACTTGGCGCCATCCTACTGTGATGACGTTTTTGGACTGGTGGCCGCGTGAAGCCAAAGGTCGCACTGCAGGACCCAGGGATCCTGATTCCCGGGTTCAATCCCCACACCTGCCCACTTCAATCTGAATGAGCATCGTACCAGTGTGCAGTCACGTATCACTTGTGTGTGGTGCACGCTGAAAATCCCCAGGCTAGCAGTTGTACTGCACTGGCAAAATTTCTCATCTAAAGCTGAGAGACAAGTCGCCTGTCGAGGCTGACTAACTTCCGGCTGTCTAAATACAACACAATTACTTTGTTATGGAGATTAGGATGTTCGTAAGCCTTGATTTCTCAAGTTGGTGTTGATAGAACCCAGAAACCCTGAGCTAACACTCTGCTTGTCTTTCAGTGTTCAAACTATTAGTATTTTACCGGTTCCACCTTTCTCCGATTACCCATCTTTAGTGGAAGCACACACACCTGAAAGTGAGGTTAGTCATCTGGTTGTTGGCCTCAGCCTCCGTGATCTGAGCTTCGGACATGTCATACGCATGTACCACGCTGAAGTGCGGGGCAAGCACTCCGGAACTCTGGCCAGAACCGCAGCCGACATCGACCGCCAGACGGAGGCTTGCCTGTGGAACAAGTTTTGTGTTTGTTGATTAAATTTATCCCGATAATAAAATAAAGCTGTCCTTATTCTTTATTTGCTATAGGAACTTTATCTACGAAGTTCTGTGTTATGCCACAGATCCGAGGTGCTAGCGCATGACTTTGGATATTACGTTCTGCGACAATCGACAGATGAAAATGGGAGGGCGTCTCTCTCCGATGTCTTGCCTCCAGCATGCGGTTAGCTTCAGCAGTGAATTGGCTGCGCGTACATGCTCATGGCTCACGACAACGTTACTGTTAGGTCGGCTACGGAACTGTCCATAGACGCCGCTGAGGTACGAGACAACTTTTCTCCACAGCGTTCAATTTCAGTTAACATATGGCTTTCTGATTGTAAGACTTCAAGAAACAATTCATATTTTTAACGCGACAGCGTTAAGGAGCTCGTGTTGCAGAAAAGTCGACGTCGGTGGCGTTGTGACCGGAAAATACCGATTGGTCGATTAGGTTGTGACGTCACAGCCACATGACCTCGCGCGTGAACCTCGAACAACCGACAAGGCTCACGTCAAATGTGCCGCTACCCGTAAAATGAAAGTGATTATGCTATATAATGCGAATTAAAGGTCGCCGCATGTCTCAAATGATTTCACTCCATAAAGTAATTTGATTGCCTTACAGGAAGGTTTGAAGAATTTAAGGCGGGATTCGAACCCACGACCCTTCGATTGCAAGCCAGACCGGCTACTGACTAGGCTACTCAAGACACGCTTGCACGGCTTGGAAACGAGCGGGAGTTTATGTTTCGCTATCGCGTTCCATCCTTAAAGGGGCTGTGCAACTATGTTTGGACACCGGTTGAATAACTGTGGTAGTTGCTGCCTGTCACGTTGGATTAATGAACTGAAAATAAATTTTGCCTATGTGCATTAGTTCTTTAGAAAAAAAAAGTAAAACAATTGATGTTTTGGGTGCCTGCAAACCACCCTCAACTCTCGCACATTCTTTCGAGTCACGTGCGCAGTGACGCGCAATGGGGAGAGAGAGTATCCGGTTGGGGATCTCTTTTAAAGCCTTCAGCGCGTGCGGCCTCTGCTTGTGATTCACATGGCGACCTTAAAGGTTTGTCTGAGACTCTGAGCGATGAGGGGGCGTGGGGGCGAGAACAAAGGGCTTGCCTTTTTGAAAGGAAGTTTGACTGACGTAGTAGCACAACGAGCTGAGGCTCAAGGGAGGAATAGTTTCTTTCCCCTCGGGCAGATGGCACCACTAAAACTGAAAGTAGCATAACTTTGACAATGACACGAGGTTTTGGACGTACTGTAAAACCCTTAATGTTCACGAGCCCTTAATTTTCGCGAATATCGCGAATTGAAAAATTCGCGAAACTTAAAGGCATGCGAAAATTTCGGTTTTCAAGAATTTCAATGCAGGTATCTGGAATTCGCAAACTTTAGTGGCTGCGATATGTCCTATGTGACCGATTCGCGAAAAATAGGGGCCCCGGAATTAAAGGGTTTTACAGTATTTGCTCATGTTGAAACGACAATATTTACCAAATATGGCATTAGATTGAGCACATAATGGCACATTTTGCCAACCTATTACATTATACCCATTGCGCGTCAGCCTTAGTTCCCGTGGCCGCCACCGCGCAGCTGCGAATTGCGAAATATTCCCATTCTTTTCTTTGCTATTATGCAATGGAATTGCGATATTTCAAAAGAATAAGGTGGTTTTTTCGTTGCTTTTGGTAAGATAAACAATGTAAAAATTTTAAACTAAATTCTTTCTATGTTAATATTGTTGCATTGCCATTTTTCTTAATATTATTAAACAGTTCTGTGTGATAGTCAAGCTTAGCTTGTTTTCATTAATGCGTTCAGTTTTGTTTCTGTACGTCTTAAACTTTGACAGATCATCGCTATCTTTAGATTTGAAATATTTATGGTACAAATGATATTTTATACTAATTCCTTTTCCAACAGATCATGTGAAACCCAAGGTTTTTTTTTAACCTCTTGCCAGGCTTGATGACCTTGTACAGAAATCTTTTAGTCTAAATTTCGTGGAATCTCCAGAAATGTATCATATAGTGCATCTGAATCATTAGTGTATACTGTGCTCCAATTAAGCCAGGGTCAATACTGCTTATATATCATACAAATGACAGTTTTCATACAGATTCGAATGCAAGTCACCGCGAGGATCCGTGCTTCGAATGCCGAATGGCAATGAGTTCAAGCAGAAACTTGGCACATGGCATTCGAACCACCAATATTGCGGTGACTCGTGTTTGGAGACTGTCCTTTGCATGATGTATGAGCAGTGTCGCCTCGGCTTTAGTGGTTTCGATGGAGTTTCTGAATGACTGCAGTCTTTGTGGTGTAATAGTGCATACGCGAAGGGTTCCACATTAATTTTTTAATGCGAAAGCATTAATTGCCTTATGAAGCGAGCCGACGTCATCAGTTTGAATTGCGCCAAACGGCACCTTAAAGGGATGCTGAACCGAAATCTGGATTCCACACAGCACGGTGGCAAAAGCGTGCAACAGGATGCTATGAACATCAAAACATCACTCATACAACGGTATTTTGAACCGATGACCGTATTTTTCAAAAAAAAAAGGAGGCGCATCTGACAGATGTTTACGTCTTGTTTCTTCAAGGAGAGGGAACGGCCTCGTGTCTTCTCCGCCTCGTCGCCTTAAGGGGGCGAAACGAAGAGAGGGGGAAACGAGATATCTTGACGTCACGCACTTCGTCGGCCTCGTTTCAATCTCACCCTTTTTTTTTCCAAAAATACAGCCATCGATTCGAGATACCGCCTTACGAGTAGTATTGTAGGAATTGTAGCGTCACGCCTACAACTCCTGCATTGTTTTCTGAAATCCAAATTTCGGTTCACCATCCCTTTAAATCTTTTCTCCAAGTGAAGTCAGCTCCCAGCTATGAAACCACGCAAAAAGCCTAGACAACGGCACCTAGTTTCCCCAATCCCAAAGGAGCGGAGTAAAGCTGATAGATTTCGCCTTCCATCCCATTGGCTGGCGTGCGTCGACGAGGCCCCCATTGGCCGCTGCGCGCGTCAGTTTCAACGACCGCCGCCTCATAGTGCTGCGTGTCCGCACCGCGAGCGCGCCTGTAACACGAAAGTGTCCAAGGTCAGAGCTGCGGGAGAGCTGGGAGAGCGCACGCACGGTCTACGCAAATACGCCGCAAACGAAACACGGGAGCGGAAGAACGGCACGCATGCTTTCACATTCACAACTCATAAGAAGTGCTTAGGTGTACCTCGAGCCTTTTTCGAGGTCAAGTCGAGGTTGCTAGTAAATGGTCACTAATACAGCCATGTCTCGTCATTATGCACCCCGTTAATATGCATACCCCACCATTTAGACACCATTTTCGGGGACGAACTGGGAAAATATATGAAATTTTGTCTCGTTAATATGGACAACTCACATTATGGACGATTTTTTGGGGGAACGGAGGCGTCCATATTAACAAGACATCGCTGTATTACAGCTAATTACACCTGATGCAGAAATATCTTCCTGGACACAGTTTGTGATAAAGTAACCTAGTAACCAGGCCAGTAACCCTGGTCTTTTATCCTTGTAGCTCCCATAGTAAGATTCAAAGTCAGTTGATTGTACAGCAGAAAATAGCTCATTGCGCATAGTTGATGTTTTTAATAAGTCAATATTAAAATCAACTCTCAAAAAAAGGGTATAGTTATTTTCACTAAGGTAACCAAGCAACCTATAAAGTACAAAAAGCATGCTGCTGAAATTTCCAGATGGAGGTCGGTATTGTACACAAAAAAACATAGTTACCAAAGAGTATTGACATTAAGTCATAAGACTTATTCAGTTCTGCGAAATATGGACTAACAACAATCGAGAGACTGATTAATAAGCATTGAAATGCCTCCCCCCTCTTCACAATTCGTGGTAAAGGAAATCGATTCTAATTAGGCAAAACAAAGTCATTTGAGTCAGAAGTGTACCATGTTTCTGAGAACATGAGAATACTAAAAAGAAAAATGCAAAGTATCAAGAAGTATTTCAACATCGTTGACTTTTTGTAGCATAGAGCGGACATTCATGTGAAAGACAATGCAGATCGCTTTTGATTACTTACGGCATTTATGAATTCTTCAGGTTCAAGGCATATATTAGTCAATGCATAACTTTCTATAAAGATAGAAGAAAAAAAAAAAAGAAACTTATAATGCCCTTTACTTTTGATGAGGTTGTTTCGAGCTTCCCTGGAAAGGCGCCCGTTTTTCTGTTACCTTATCAAGATACTACCAACCTTATATTCTCTCTCTCTCTCTCTCTCTCCCTCCATGACCCAAATAGCAGTTGTGTTGACTCTAAAGCTGTGGTGCCACAAGATCAACAAACTGTTTTCGTTCACCAACGAAACAATACCAGCCTCTTTGGCATCCCAAAAAAAATGTTTTGCAGGACCGCATGTTACCAGCCAGCCACGTTCTTTTGGGGTCAGTTGGTGACTCTTGAGTAGAAAACGAAGGTGTACCTCACATGTACACAAGTAACGTTTGTTATAGGAATGAGACCTTTAGCGCAGCGACATCATGCTATTTTGTGTCATCGTGCTTCACTCTTCACGTGAAAAAGTGTCCTCAGGCTCGAACTCTTGGCTTTGACCAGCTATTTGCCACCATTTTGAATCTCTCGATTTCTGGTTGTATATGCTGTCGGCATCGAGTGATAGAAAGACTAATGTCGCCCTAACTGAGGCACCGTACGCGCCTGCTATGAGCGATCAGTCTCTCTACCAACACTCTACAGTAAAAAAAAAAAAAAAGAAAAAGTTATTGAGTTTTTATTTAACAGCTCCTAGATAGCAAAGCAAGGCTGAATTTTTGGCGTCACCTAGGGAAGGCCGGCGCGGATCAATGATTGGACACGAGTCTCGGCCGAACGCTGACACAGCACTCGTGCCCAATCAGTGTCCCGCGTTAGGCTTCTTTGCGTGATGTCACAAATTCAGCATGACGGCATTTTTATCTAGGAGGTGGGGTCATACTTTGTAAAGAAGTCGATACGTCCTAAGCTATCCTTCGAACAATGGGCTCCACTCAGGGTTCTAAACCTGCATAAATTATACTCTGGGGGCCAAAACTATGGTGCCTGGAAAGCGTCTCCGACTGGCGTGTTTACTGCACCCTTAAAAGTAGTCCCTCGATTTGCGCCTGATGACATCATAGAAATTGCCATGTCGCCCGCCACGATACTGGCGATGTCGCCGCAGCGGTGGTGGATGCGGCAGATGCCTGCTGTTTTGCTGCAGGTCGCTCTCCCGCTTAACAGTCCACGAAACCTCGGCAGCCAGGGGTTGATGGGACCCCGCAATGACAGCGACACTCACAATTGGCCGTATGCCTTTTTAGACACAGGCTAAGTGGAGCAAGCTACCGCCCGTTACAATGGATATAGTCACCAACTTCCATCCATCCATCATATACACCTAGGCCGCTGCCATGTTGCTGATGCTGATGCGGCTGGTGCAACTCTCGCACCCCCTATCAGCTAGAAATCTTTTGCCACTCTCTTGGACTGTGAGAACCCGCTCAGCGCAATTCTCTACTTATGTTTTCCTGTTTTGCATTTGACATTTTCTGGCCTCTCTTGAAAGTTTCCACTTAATTTTTCTGATGCACGCTGCATACCCTTTCTGTGTTATCTTCCACTGGGAGAAATAAGGCTGGTAAGTGCCTGCCATTGAAGCGTTTCTGCTCGACATTCACGGGAAACGAAGGAAGAGAGGGACGTCGAACGGCGTCCCACTCTTCCTTCTGGTCTGTTCTGAACAACTGTTCTCCCCCCTCCCAGAGATAATCTGAGTAGAGTCCTCCTTAGTCATAGCCAAAAATAGTATTTGGACTGGAGTCAGTCGCGCCCGTTCCTTTGCCTTGGTGCTGGTGTGAAAAAAAGTAAGCTCTCCCAAAAACGTGTGCTAAAACGAAGTCGCCTTCGATTCTGTGACTGTCGTCGACTGTGACTGTGTTATTTGAGATCTTTCTCGCATAAATTCTTTTCAGATGACGCTGCATCGTGTGGTATGTGCAACATATTGTTTGAATGTTAACACTTGCTAAATTGTATGTCCGTGTCCTGTCCATCGGTAAACACGTTATGTGTGAGCTCGAAAAATGCACGTCTTTCGTCTATCTTCTGTTGTAAATCATTTTCGACAGCTAAACGCTTTGTCAGTTGACACTCGGCTAATTGAGCGGAGCTATCAAAACTTGTCGTAAAAAAAAAAACACAAATACACAACTAACATTCCAGTCACATTCGTTCTGTCCCGTGTGTACCCAACAAAAAAAGCTTACAGTTTTTTTGTTTTTTTTCAAATGTGGTTCAGTGCTTTTTCAATATCCTTGGGAAAGTACCACTGATCTCTACTACTGGATGACACATCGAGTGCACGGGACTGAGGTCACCGGAAGTAAGCGGCTTGTCCTGGAAGTGAGTGCCCCTTGGCAGGCTTTGCAACCCTTCCGAGTAATTCCAAAAGCGTCGAGTGTGCTGGTTTTTCGCTTGTCACCTCAAGAGAGCCTGCTTGTTGTGTAGTAAGAGTGCATGCAGACCCGAGAAGTATCATGGGAAGCCATTGAATGCAAAGATTTTGAGATTCCAGTTGATCAAGTGTGCATATGTCCAAAGTTCAAATGCCTCATTTTCGAGATTTAATTCGGAGCACGATTATTAAAACCCAGTCAAAGACACCGAAAAGTATGGACCAAAACATAGACTGAATGCACTGGGAAGCCCAGCCATAGAGTTATTATAATGTACGCTAGAGGTTCAACTGGCACTAGTGTGCTGCTGCAAATTGAAGCAGACAGCAACCAGTCCGAAATTGACTTTTGGTAATGCATTTCTATCGGAAAAAGTGGGTGCATTTTCTCTCGGCGCTCGATTATAAGAGCGAATATCACGAATAATTGGTACGTACTAGGCACATTGGAACACTTCTCAGTCATGCAGACGAAATATTTGGTCAGTTACAGAGTTTTTATTTTAAATTCGTTTCATGAAAAACGGTGCTAAAACCGCTTCGTACATGTACGTATGTGCACTGTCAGACACTGTTAGTGCAAACACGGCGTCAGCGCTTTCCTCCAGCATGGGGGATATAGGTGGCAAACGAACAAGGGAAACCTGGAAAACTAAGAGACGACAAGAACTACGCAGTAACACTGGATAAGTAACTCCTTGTGCATGCAGACAATCAAAATAAATTGAAAGCCACGTAATATAGTCCAATTTCTAATCAATAAGTACTGCTTTATTCTTCCTGCTCATGAATATGTGCGAAGATGCTTGTTCTGGGTTCAAACTTCAAATCATCACCCGCACGCTCCAAATCTTTGCAAATAGGGAGAAGCCAGATAACAGGTGCCCGATAAAAACTGCCCGACATAGGGAATAAAAAAAAGACATTTGTAGCCCACATACTTCATTTTTTACGTTTGAATGTTTTTTTTAACCGATCGTAAATATGCGCACGGCGGAGTCATTTTCATATAATGACAGGACGGGCATATTAGCAATATATAAGTGCTACCGGAATGCTAGCGAACATTGAACACCCTCCACATTCCTTTCGATCGTTATTTCGCTTAGAATCATCGCTCCTGTTTACATACCTGCCATGGTACAGAGGTTTGGACCTGAAATACAGCGAAGTTTAACATCGTTCAGTGGTAAAGAAAAATGTTGTAATTAAAACAATTACATTTTCACATTATTAATAAAGGTACATACTATACGGTACAACCGAAATAACAAAAGTTATTCATGTTGTTTTCCGGCGAAGAGACAAAATGCATGCGCGTTTTCCCATAGGAATGCACAAGAGCACCGCAAAAGTACATTGGTTGCTGTCTGCTTCAATTTGCCTCCCGGAAGTCGCATAGACACTAGCGCCAGTTGAACCTCTAGCGTACATTATAATAACTCTATGAGCCCCGCAGACGCCTGACTTCCGGGACAAGCATCATACTTCCGGTGGCTTCACTTGCGTCCTGCTCGGAGAGCGGCTATGCGCCATCCTACAATAGAGATCAGTGGAAAATACATACACAATTAAACACAAAATACAGCGGGAGAAGACGAGAATTTAGCCGCCAGCAGTGTTTAAAACTGCGCCTACGCAGGCTGCACCAACCGAACACGCCGGCTCCGGTGACGTCCCCTTCGGAACCACTTTTGTTGAGTGCTTTTGATGTATGGACCTGAGAGGACGCGTTCCGGGCACCTTTTTAAAACGTAGTCAAGACTGCCACAACTTGAAGGTCTGACGTTCGCACCTTTTCTTTGACGAAGCTGACAATCTGCTCGATGAGAGCGGGAGGCGGAGTGGGCCTGAATTTGAGGTAGATGCCCGCGTGAGCCTTCGTTCTGTACACGTGGCTCATCGTGAAATAGACGGGGCACAGGGGGATGAGGCTGCCGTCGCCACAGGTGCTTCTGCACGGTTGCTGGAATAGATCGCTGTGAACTATGGTCAGTGCGGGATATGGATATGGATTATGGATATGGTGGCTTAACCCTTTGTATCGGGCGATCACAGTTTTAACAAAACTAAATCTAGCCAAAAAAAAAAAAAAAAAAAAACTAAGTTTGATTGCCACTGCTCCCCACCCTTCTCACAGTTTTCCCCCCACCAGTCCTCCAATCTTCGCTTTGCGATTTCAAACACCCCGAGGACGCCGACATCTTCCCGCTGGCCGCGCTGGCCACCATGGTCTCGACAATAATGCACGTCGTCTGCGTCGTCTGCTCCTGCCCTGTCAATGGTGTCGGTCCCAACCTCTTCAGCCCCAGTGCAACCGCATAATCCACCAAATCTAGTGACATTGGCGGTCTCAACTCTCAGGACTCCATTATGACATGTTCGGCTGTCTCCTCCTGCTGGCCGCATAGCTGGCATTTACCGTCCATCCCCGGCGTGTACTTGGACCTCAGGTGAAGTGTCCTCAACACTTCACACTTCACTTCGTGCCTCGCACGCAGCCCACTGCCCCTCGAGTTGTCGACGAATTCCTCGCTCACAATGCTCTTATTCACCGCACCGTAGACGGCGAGGGACGGCCGCGCGCCTACCGCGGTGACCCATCTGGTCGTTTCTGTCTCCTTCACGCGTTTCCGAACCCGTTTGCCGTACCCGGAGATTCGACCTCGTACAGCAGCACCCGTGGCACGTCATATCGCTCCGTGAGCTTGTTCCCTCTCTACCCACCGGGTGTTGATGCTTCGAAGGTGGATGTACTTACGTACTTGAACACCTGCCGAGCCCATCGTTGTTCTGGCAAAGTGCAAAAACGCCGCTCGAAAATTTTGATTAGTGTTGCCAGATAGCCAAACGAAAAACCGCCAAACGGCTGAGAAGTATAGCCCGAATATAGCCAAAGCCGTAAAAAAAAAAAAAAAAAAAAAAAATATATATATATATATATATAGCCAAATTGCCAAGACTAAAAACAATTATTTTTAAGCCTTTTATTCACAATTTTTCACACACATACAAAACACAGTGCATTCACTTTTCCAACCCTCATATGTGCCACATTTCGTGTACATTCTGTCACTTGTGAATTTTTCAAAAATGTTTCAGAAGGATGAAAATTCGTGCAGCAATGACTTTTCCTTCGTAGGCCTTCAGAAACACAAAAAGACAGCTTTATTGTGAAGCACGGGAGATATGATCATACGGTTAAAGGGGCCCTGCAATCATATTTAAGCGCCTACCTTTTTTGCGGTTTCCAAGTCTCTTGGGGTTCGGGCAAGACATCGGGCACGGAGAGAGTATCTAAATATCAGTGCATCATATTTTAACCAGACGACGCAGAAACCTCCTCCGCTGACGGGGGCGACCCGCGGTACCGAAAGCGCGCGACATGTGACGTCTTTGGTCCTGGGCTTACTACTGGTCAGAGCCGCTGAAGGCTTCTTTTTAGTCGAAATACAAAACATAGCGTATTTATTCGAATCTAGGCCGGCCCGATTCTAAGCCGACCCCAAAAAGTCCGAAGCCAGGAAAAAAAAACAAAAAAACTTACCTCGATTGTAGGCCGAACGAAAAGGCGAGGACAGTGCTCACAAAAAGGAGACATTTATTGAACATAAAGATGTTCCACCTTCATGTTCACCGGACCACGAAAAGGCTGCGGTGACGGCCTTTCACCAGACCACGAAAAGGCCGTAGTGACAGCCTTTTCGTGGTCCGGTGAATGCCGTCCTCGTTGCGGTGCACGCAAATGAAGCAAATATCCTCTCCAGTTGTCTCCTACAACGACGGACATTTCTTTCATCCACGCTGAAGTCCTGCCCGGCTTCAACGTCCGACGACAACTCCGCGGCTAAAACAGCTTTTCTTTTAAAAGCGGAATTCTAATGGCACCGCCTATTTGGTGCCATTGCGCTTTTAATAAAAAGAAAACGCCACGCCGCACGCAAGCCACTATCAACGCAGGTCAAAATGGTGGCACCTTTCGTCTAGTAATGGCTACAATACTTTTTTTTCGAGGTGGCGCTAGCTGTGCGCCACTTTCTTCAATTTTCAAAATCCTCGAATCTAAGCCGACCCTAGAGTTTGTCGTATCGGTATTTTAAAAAAAAACTATCGGCCTAGATTTGAATAAACACGGTAAGTGGCGCGAACCGTTTCAATTAGTTATAAAAGTAGTTTTTGTTCAATATTTCAGATCAGAAAAGAAACAAATGCAGTTTATAAAGTTCAGAAACAAGAAATGACCCGTCGACTTACCCGCCACCAAGCGGTGGAAAAGGCGGCGCATACTAGAAAGGAATAGTGGGATCAGGCGCCGACGCAGAAAGGTCCCGGATGTACGCTGCGGTGCTGTGGTCGTGTGGACTAGAGGATCCGACCGGCTCCGAGCGTTCTCAAGGCCTTTAGCGAGCAGCTTTGTCGTGCGGTTTGGCCATTTCGCAGTATGGCAGCGCGAAGTGGCTCCCATTCTGAACCGATCTTTACCCTGCGTTTGCTGTCGTTTGTGGCCAATAAAGTGTCATGCCGAATTAGCGTTCAATCGCGCAGCAAATGCAATGAGAGTCGCTCTGGCTGCCCGCTGCATACAGCCTATCCAGAGCATGCTTTAGTTGCGCCCTCTCGCGCCGTCGACACGAAGTGCGGCAGCCGTGAGCGCTCGCTGAGCACACTACCCCTCCTCTAGTTCACAGGCACTCAAGCGACCAAGGACGTCATGAAGGAGGTTATTTTTTGCTTGTTTTTGTAATCTTAATTTGCCTATAGCTTTTAAAATAAAGCGAAATTCGAGAAAAGTTTCATTAAGTTACTACGTTCAGTGCACTCAGGTTCGGTGCAAATTAAAAACCAGTCAAAAACGACTCGCTCAATTGCCCTTGCAGGGCACCTTTAAGCGTCTACCTTTTTTGCAGTTTCCACGTCTCTTGGGGTTCGGGCAAGCCAGCGGGCATGGAGAGAGTAACTAAATATCAGTGCGTCATATTTTAACCGGACGACACGGAAACCTCTTCCACCGACGAGGGCGACCCGCGGTACCGAAAGCGCGCAAAATGTGACTTCTTTGGTCCTGTACTTACTACTGGTCAGAGCCGCTAAAAGCTTCTTTTTTGTGTCGAAATACAAAATATAAGTGGCGCGAACCGTTTCAAAGTAGTTTTTGTTCAGTATTTTATATCAGAAAAGAAACAAATACAGTTGTACCTTTACAAAATTTAAGAGAAAAAGAATACAGTATAGACCACTTACAACGTAACCGCTTATAGTGCAGGACCGGGTATAACGCGGTTTTTTTAAACCACCGGTTCACCTCCCATAGAACTCCATGTAATTACATACCGCTTAAAATGCAGGCGCGCGAAAGGAAATACCGGTTATAGTGCGGTTTTTGGCAGAGCCCGCCGACCGCGCCGACGACCGGAGCAGCGAGCTCGCTTCCCTGTGCGACACTTGATAACGGCGCTGACGGCGCGAGCCGCACGCTGCACTAGCGGGGCAAGGATGTTGCTCGAAAAAGCGGGCAGAAGCGAAGAGAGAGGCTTCAGTTGCCTTAGCGACGGAGGGACGCACGCACGTGTCGTTCACGTGCGTGCGTCCCTCCGCTGCGTTGGAAACAAAGAAACAAACAACCGCAACGACAGACCAATCGCAGGTCGAGGAGAAGTGTTCGCGCGCGTTGCATGCTCTCTCCTTTCCCCCCAACCTCTCTTACAACGCTTCTCCTCCTCCTCCTCCTCTCCGGTCGCGGGCCGGCTGCTTCTATCCGTAAACATGGCGTCGGTTGTGATCGTCGTCGTAGACGGCGTTCATCTCATCGTTCTGCGTAAAAGCGCTATCCTTGACTGTGAATTTTCGTTGTGTGTCGCTGTGATAACCCAGCACGTAGTACTAGAAGGGAAGATCCACCTACTCGTGCGGCGATGTCGTGGCGGCGCTCTCAAGACGGCTGAAACGCCCGTGCCGTCGTGTTTGTTTACTTCGACTACAGTGGTGATTTCTAAGCATTTGTGTCCTCGAACATCGCCCGGATTTCTTATTTGGCGCATTTCATGCGTGTGCTCAAGTTCAAGGTATTACTGGTGCGTACGTATGAAGGATGCGAATTTTCACGCGTTTTCATCTCCGGAGAAAAGTGATTAGGGTTAGCAATCCTGAACGCTCGCAACGTCCGTCCGCAACTCGCGACGCCGTTAAAAGGCTGCGCCAGGCAAAAGCCGCTCATTTCTTTCAAAATGTGTGACACACTTGAGACAGAACTGTACTAGTCTGGTGAAATAAAGACTTTCCTCAAACTAAGCTTTATTTTTCATCTAACATAAAAATAAATTCTTTTACAAAGGTAAGTTGTTTCATGGCATGCATTTTGGCCTGAAAAATTGATGTTTTGGTTATAGCGCGGTACCGCTTACAGTGCGGATTTTCGCGACTCCCGAGACATACGTTATATGCGGTCTACACTGTATATAGGAAATGATGCTGTTCTAAACATCAGTTTAAAATGACTTACAAAACTAATTCTGCTATATACACAACTCCCAATGAGGCAATGCCACATATTGGTGGATATGTAGATTGTGAAAAAAATAGTACAGCATGGTGGTCAAAGCATTTAAGCAGGGGACACATAAGCAGGGCAACTAGGCACCGCACAGCGCTCCGCATGACGCACCACCTGGCGATACTTGTGGATCCAAGACACATGCATGCAGAAGTCCGTCGCGCGACGCACATAGTTGCTGGACCACCATTGGCACTGAACGCACAGCAACTGGCAGTGCTTCGCTCTAAAACACGTTATTTATGCCCAAAACGTAAATTAAGTTATACAGATTAAAAAATAAAACAAATAAAGCCCAGTGCATACATTCTTTTACTACCATTATATTACTATTAAAGTAACAATGTCAAAGAAAACATTACCACAAAAGTATGTTGACAACACTAGCAACGCCGGGTTGGGTCGCTTTTCCGCTTTTCATTTCTACCCAATCAAGCTACCAAGCCTTACCGAAAAAAAAAAAATGATTGAAATTGTTTTAATAATTAACTGTCAGATTGTATACACATTCATTTAAAAAAATTCAAATGCAATGTGTTCAACTTCCCTGTGAAAACTGGAGGCACACGGCGTGCCAGTCCTGAAGAAAACATACCACAGAATGTATACGGATCCCTGAACATCGCAAAGAAATTCTAGACATAGAGGCCCAAATTGAACAAAAAAGGCTAGCACAAATCACTTGTACGAGACTTTCATGAGACACATGGGCGCTTTCATTCGAAAGTACACGGAGATGTTTTATTGACTTTATGTCAAGGAAGTCACACCAAATAAAATATTTATAAGGTGTTTATGCCCGCCGCAGTGAAATGAGCACAGTGACAAAGCATTATTACCGAGCATCATAAAAACAATACACATGGGAGAAAATACCTATAGATGGAGTTCAAAATACTAACCCAGCAAAGAGAAATTCCGAAACCACACACAGAAGGTTTGGTCAGTCTCCTGGCGGCATCGAATGGCTCGCTCCAGAAACCTGACGATGCCAAAGGTCTCTCCGGTACAAAGTACATTGTCTCTGCATTCTTTCTAGACCCCTCGTGTCAACTCCTTCAATGGCTGTGGCAGAAACATTCCGGCAAACAGATTCCCCATCTTGAACTCAAACCACCAACCCAATCTCGCTCGGCGTTGCACCGCCACTTTTTGGCATCGTCGTTGTTGTTCGTGAAGACCCGCCGGTCGCTAGCTGAGATGGTGATTTCATAACACCTTCTGTGTCACCCCTGGAAATTCGAATAACTTCGCAGACGACTGGAACATTCCCACGGGATTCGTTCGAGCCGCACACAGCACTGAGCCCAAACTGAACTGATCAAACAAACAGTCGTTATATTTGCCTTTCCGCTGCTCGTCGCTAGGCGCACCGCACAGCCTTTTCTGGGACAACCGGATCAGAGCAGCGCCGTGCCACAAGGCACATACGTCGTAGTGACATAAGGACGCAGTAGCTGTTTGCTAGAGAAACTGCCGCGCGCTTCCACGCGGCACCCGTTTTCATTGCTTCTGTGTCCCATGCTTTACACATAGCATGTGGGGTTTGAAAACACAACGTTGAAGTTGAGAATAGCATAGCAACAACTGAGACAATGTAGGAAAGAAATCTAACAGCTGGGATGAAATTGGCAAATAAAAATGACCGCGTCTCCACGTGGTGAATGATGTTGATTGGGGCGAAGCTCTGGTGGTGCTGATGATGCTGATTTTGTTCATAGGTAGTGCTGATGGTGCTGATTTTTTTTCCATGTCAGGAAGTGAATGTGTGGTACGGAACGTGGTTATATACGCATTTGAGCATTTGACCGCAGCGCCCTCTCGTCTATAAACATTGAGCCAATGCATGCAAAGTTTAACGCGATTATATACGCATTTGACCGCAGTGCCCTCTCCTGTATAGACGTTGAGCGGCTACATGCAACGTTTCATCCATGACAGGAACCCCAGCTCTTGAGTTACTACCACATCTATGAGCCCCCCACTCGTCCCGCAGTCGTGGCCGAGTGGTTAAGGCGATGGACTAGACATCCATTGGGGTCTCCCCGCACAGGTTCGAATCCTGTCGACTGCGCAAACATTTTTTCTTTTTTTAAGAAGACAGATGGGATGGCAATCAATGAGAGCACGGATGCCGGACGGACAAGGCCCTAAGGAGCTTCGCCCCTAAAATAACTGAAATGAAATATTCTAAGCATCGCTGTAGCTCAGAATGCCAGACACATCTATGAAATGTGTCCTCACCTGAGGGGCAGTAGGTCCAGTCTGCAGCATTGCACGATTCTTTTATAGAGGGGGAGATCAGCTTCGGAGAGGGGACCAGCTCTGGAGAAACGATCCAACTTCAGAGATGAGGTCAACCTCAGAGGTGGGATCTACTTCGGATGGAAGGTGAGCTTCGAAGAAGGGATAGTTTTCTGAGGAAAGGTCAGCCTCAGAATATGGATCAACCCCTGAGGGAAGGTCAGCCTCAGAGTATGAATAGGCTTTGGAGCGAATGTCAGCTTCAGGCGATGGAACGAATTCAGATGCGAGGTAAGCTGCAGAAGAGGGATAGACTTTGGAGATGAGGTCAGCTTGGTGCAGAAGGTCAGCATCAGGTATGAGTTCCGAGAGAAGCTGTGTCTTCGAGGGAAACTTCATCCGTAGCGAAACCATTCTGTCTTCTGGCAGGTTTAGCAGAGACTCCGTCCCAAAGAGCAGCTGGGTCAAGAATGGGGGCTCTGTTTCAACTGGAAGCACCGTCGGTATGGCTGACTCGGGATGAAATTTGAGCCACATCTCTCCTGTGGCCTCATCCTTATGTCTACGACTTTGGTCTCGCACAGGTGATGGCAAGCCAAAAAAGGGAGGGACAAATCTCCAATGCTTCAGGAAAAGATATTTGTGCATAATCTGTCTGAGTACCACGGGTGACCATCACCTTTGTCTCTCTCAGCATGTCAGCTTGCGTTGCTGCAAAGAGAAAATTATTAAAATAGAATGTGTTTATACGCCAGTTTTCCATGGAAAAACTGACACACTTTTGCAACACATGTGACCGTTACGTTCATGTGACAGATGTGACCGCTACACATGCCAAGGTATTGGTGAATTTTCCCCCTAAATATAGGAGAAAATTTAATTGGTATAGAATCCTGCCAAATTTAGCCAGGGAATTGAAATTGGAAGGAAAGGAAAGAGACAGGAGTGGAGGAAAGAAAAAGGGAGAGAGTAAGAGGTAGGAAGGAGGGGGAGGAGGAGGTGTGGGAACATGACAAATTCTGTGCTCTCCAGTCTTTCTCAGCATGATCAAGCTTGTGTAAGTTTTACTTGGTTACTCACAGCAGACTTATTGTATACTTACAGACACAAGAATGATTTTGGGTATCTGTTGCAGTTCCCATTTCGTTTGTGGGAGTGAAAGCCCATGCTGCCTTGTCTGTCATAGTGCACCTTGCAATTGGTTCAGTGTGTGCCATCATTATAACCTAAAGAGAGAAAAAATTGCTCATGGACCAATTCTTGTAATAGTACCGAGAAAAAACAGATTGTAGTCACAGTCTGGTTGCAGCAGTATTTCTCCCCTTACGAATTACTTTGTAAACTATTTTCTAAAGAAACCAATGTGCCGAGAAACTGAGGAAGAGAAGGAAACGAAAGCGCGCGTGGGCGTGAGAACGCCGAGCTTGGAACGATTAGGGGGTAGACCTAAAGCTAGCTGCCTTTGTCTTCACTGCACTTATTGAACGTGTTCGAATGCGAAAGCCAAACGCCAGACGCTGGCATTCAGCATTCTAATGTGCTCGACGAGTGCAGTGAAGGCAAAGGCGGCTAGCTTTAGGTCTAACCACTAATCGTTCCAACTAAAGCACGGCATTCTGACGTCCTCATGCACTCTCGACCCCTCCTTTTCCTCAATTTCTCGGCGCTACAATTGCATGTAGGCACCTCACCAACATCCCAAATTAAACTTGTAGGGCGTAAAGTCCTTCACGTGAGGCAATGGAGTAAACTGAGATTTTAAAATGGCTGAATGTTTTATTGGGGGGTTGAATGCTCTTAGGACTGGTAAGCATGCTATCACACAGCAAAAATGTCTGCGTTTTCGGCACGTGTTTGATGTACGGGGGCAGAGCTGCGCATAGTGAGGTCAATGGCGTCTGTAACGTCACAACCCATTTTGCACAAATTACATCTCACGTGACAATTCAAAGACGGCTGTCAAGGTCATGTGTCAAAGATGCTGATGGTGAACAAGACAATGTTCTTGGAACAGCCGGGGATTACTGAAGAGCTGAAGTTAGTGGGGCTAGCATTACCAAGTGGTCAATTATACAGGTCTTGCAGGTACTTTCATATTTCTTCCAGCCAAGTGAAACTGCCCCTGGTGCAGTGGTCGGTCTACCGGACGAGAGTGAGTCATTTGTGTTACACCTCAGCATGGACGCCAAGTTCTTGGAGCGGCATACACCAACTGTTCGTATGGATTTGGGTGTGGGGCATTTTATAATTGTGTCACCGTTGTGTGTTTTGTGTTGCTACTGATCAGACTTGCCACCTGCATTTAATAACTGCCGTATTTACTCGAGTAATAGCCGCACTGTTTACGAAGAAAACCTGAGTGTTCGCTTTTCCACGGAGCACGCAGATTGCCAATCACCGTGATCCACAGCATGAGTTAAGCTGTTTACGAGACAGAGATAATGTTTTCGTGCGAAGATACCATCTGCATAGATTGCATTTGTATGGAGAATCGTGTTCTCAATCTTGTTATTCGCTATGTTATTGATGCGCAATGCAATGATTGGCTGTATATGTGTTCTGTGGGAAAGCAGACGCAAAGACTTTATTCATAAATAGTGCGGCTATTACTCGAGTAAATACAATACACTCTGCCGGACCTGGCATGCCGAAGAGCAACCACGAGGTTTTTGTCATTAAACGTTTATTCCACCCGTCCATATATTATACAGGTACGTTCGTGAATATTGGTAGTTGGCGAGCAGGCATTTCACAATGCCCTGATCATGCGCAAGTCGGTTATCAGCCGAAAGCTGTAGACGCCATAGAGGAAGCACTGAATTAGCTGAAATAGTAATAAGATATGTTGTAGTAGCACCGTTTTGTTGGTTCATTCTCTTTGCTGGTCTTTTCAATGTCGCAACTCAGACTGACAGATATTAATGATTGTGAAGTTGTGGATGAGAGTTTAAACCATGTTAGGATTTATCAAATCCAGTTCATTTAGTGCCTTGTCTGTTCAAGTCTATGATGTGCTTGCACAGGATCTCATCCTCGGTAGCAGCAGAATCTCCTAAAATGGCATTTTGCTTCGCTTGAGCGTTCATTACTGTGGTTCTGTCACCAGCCACTCATGCGTAAACAATGAAAACTATCCTGTACTCAGCCACGTAACCAGGTATCCGATAAATAGTAAATACTATTTTTTTCTGCGCAGTCCGAGCGCAGGGTGGACCGTCTATAAAAGGCAAACTGCACGTCTTCATCAAGCCAAATCCGTGTAGAACAGTTCAGTCTTTACGGAGGCCCACTGATCGGGGACGTAGCCGGGAGAGGGGGGCATATGGGGCTGCAGCCACCCGCCACCGCCACCGCCAACCCCCGCCAACCCCCCAACCCCCCAACCCCCCCCCCCCCCCCCCCCCCAAATTCAGCCGACCCTATTCGCGACTCCAGCGACCTATAGGGGGCGCCATCACCAAACAAAAATGGCGGCTGAATCCAGGTCGCGTCGGCTCAGCCGTCCGCCTGAACAGATGGCGTGTTCAATTTAACAGGTTTTCTTTCGTTTAATGCCTAATTTTATAGGTATTTGAACTGAGACGGTTAAGTTATGCCGGCGCACATAAACTTGCAAAGCATAGTTTTGTTTTCCCGGTGTTTTTTGTTCTTTTCATGTCAAACTTTTGTTTCGGAGATTTCGTTCAAAACCGAAACTACGGGTTCCGGAGAGACGGTAAGATACTAATCCGTTTTGATCATGTAAGAAAAGCGGCGATGACTACAGAATTGTTCCACCGAGAGTAATTTTCAGCTAACTCGCATGCCTCGACCATGCGACCTATCTGTCCGCGAAATCGAGCTATATCCGCGTTTAAGAAACAGCTGCAGTCGTCTGCTCGGCCAACAACACAGGCTGCAGGAAAATTAAGAAAATTAAGCAAGCGCTTCTGCTAAGGACCATGTTAACCCGCCGGCGCCCCACTGAGCAGCTGATAGTCGTATTCCAATTCAGATTTTAGTAGCAATCGAGAAGTCATTTTGACGAGCGGGTTATGTATTATATTACGTACTATGGGAGGTCCCACTAAAGCGATATTAGTATATTCTTCGGGTTGAAATATGAGCTTAGTTGACTAGCTACTAGGTGAACTGCTGAATAAAGGTATATTTGACAGACAGAGAGATACTACTGAAACTTAGCCAAATGGTTCTAGCCGGCAGCACGGAGACAAACTGAAGAGAGTCTTCATCGGAGATTCACGCAGAACCCCTCTGCATTGAACTTTGCTTCAAATCCTGAACGGAAAAAATTAGTTCTTTTTTTTTTTGTGGCCGGTCAACCTGAGCAATGTAGACGTATATTGCTGCTGGCTTCGGCGGGGGTATAATATAAATATTAGAGGCACGATAGATTGAAATGCCGTGACAGCTTCTAACATTACGAGACTCGTCCCCCACCTTTTGAAAACAGATCATTTCCCTCATTCATCATTTGCAGCGAGCAGGTTTTCTGGAATCAAGTAATTGCGAAATCAGCCCAAACTTCTTCAGTGTGATCCAGAATCTATTTCGGTGAAAAACAGCCAAGATGAATAGCCAACGCACCGACCGGCGTGGGTGGCTCAAACTTGAAGCCTGTCAAACATAACCAAACTCAAGAAAAGCAGCTGTCGAACCTTCCTCACTGGACTGCAAAATTGGTGTTCCCTACAGTGTAACGCCTCGTCTGTCGTCCTCAGTCCACTGTTCTACATCCATATAAAGAAACCACATATCAGTTACCAAGTAGTCGTCACTTTGAATGTGATTAGAGACAGAAAAATAATCAAAACCTTTTTCCGTGATTCCTTTCCATCCAAGAAATCGAAAGCATGCGACCGTGTGCTGTGGAGTAAACGGGCTTTCAAACAGGTGATGGAAGGAAACAATCTGCTGAGGCTTCCCCACACTAATGAACACTCAGGCAAACTTAAGAAATTTTCGGACCTCCGTCAAATTACACTGTTCGCCACCGCGCCGACAACACGTGTCCGCGAAAGCCACCAGAGACGCGGAGGGACGCGGAGCGACCTGGTCCGACCGGTTCCCGGTTTTCCCGCTTGGTGGCGGCGTCCGTTTTGCTGGAGTCGCGAATAATATACACGTGCATTTTTACCCCCCACCCCCTTCCCCCTCTCCGCACCCCAAGTCATGGACTCCCAGCCACCTCAGCCCCCCTCGCCCCGAAAAAAGTCCTGGCAACGCCTCTGCCACTGATTCAGGGGGCAGAGCAACCGATGGCCCAATAAATTAAAATTGTGCTGAAAACACAGACCCGGTATTACAGTACATTAAAACACTTGACAAGGTTTTTGTTTCTTTCTCTTTTGGAAGCTTACACTCGAGATAAAAAGAGCTAGAAGTCTCAGCATGCCCAAGCACTGATCTTTAGATGTGGAGTTAATTAAAAACTATTTGTACATCTCACTGTTTAAAACACATTAATGTGTCCTCCTTGCAGAAGCCTAAAACAGCAGCTTGCACAATGCACAGGCTTAGATTAGTTTTATTGGTGACCCAGAAGCAACACTGATCCATTGTCCTGAACAGACATTAACGATAAGCCACTCTGTCAAACATCCAGGGTTAGAAAAAAGACTAGAGTGGTCCCTTAGGATCACTGATCCAATGTTCCTTAGGGTACTTTACACCAGTCCAGACCTGATGTAAAGTATTCCATCTATATTTTGTCATCATGTCATTGAATATCAGAGTTTTTCGGATAAATTCAAACTGATGATAATTTTACCAGCGAGTGTTATCGGAACTTTATCGTTTTTATCCTAAAATGGAGAACCCCACCAAAAATAGTCAAGTAATTAGTGTGTTTTTTGTTAAAGGGAATGAGGTTATTTTAATGACTTCATCTTCCTGTCCAGTAAGAGAGGTACCAAGTGCTGAATGTGGAGGTAAAACTTACCAAATGAATATCATCTGAAGTACTCCTTGCAGAGGGTGTGTCATCAGCCAGATATTCCTACAAGTATTAAAAGTGCAAATGTTATTGAGCCTATGAAATCTTTACTTTCCTTAGAGCCTTCAACTACTGAAGTTAAGCGCATTTCTTGATGCGAGTCTTGTCGCATGTTCCAGCTCTTGCAATAATGCCATGCAATAAATGATTTTAGAGTGGCTTACGACAATGTTAGGAAATTTCTTATTGCCGCAATATCCTGAGTCATCGCCAAACCCCCTGCCGCCTGAAATTCATAAAAAAAGTGGGGTGGGCCATGTCTCGGTGGGTAAGCACAGAAAGTTTAGAAAAAACTAAATAAACGCCCATTTTTCTGTACATAACTAGCATACCTGCACAAGAGATACATTAAACTCAAAACTCATATCAGTTTCATTGTTTTATGCAAGAAATGACGCTCACGAAAGAAGGTTTTACTATCGCAATTCGTTGCTTGCATATGCACGATGAACACCGCCAATCGGCATACAGAAGGAACGTTTGTTCCACGAAAGTATGTTTCTAACACCGCTATGCTCTCCTCGCAAAAAAAAAAAGAAAAAAGTCAGCAAGAAAATAGAAAAACCAACGAGGTGAAACGAGTAAGCGAGCGAGTGGACGAAAGAAGCAATGAAGAGCGATGCTGGGGAAGCGGGAAAGCTGGCAATCGCGTATGCAAATACTTCGGCGTCGGGCCAAGTCGGGCGCCTTGTCACTCGCAAGAAGGAAGCTCTTGAGCCGCTTTCTTGTTTGGTGCACACATGCGTGCGTCCATTCGCAACGTGCTATCAACGCGGATTAAGGCGGCGTTGCTGCATGGCATGGACGGCACCATGAACACGGAGCTCAAAATGGGACGCTCTATGAACGGCTGCGTGCAGCGTTCCAGCAAATCTTTATTTACCCGTTGTTCAACACTGCACAACCTTACCAACCGCAATCGTGGCGTTCTGGGAGAAGGAGCGGGTTCACGGTGACCTTACTTCGGTGGATACAGACTTTGATTTTACACGCCGCAGTTACATTCCAGAATATGGGGCGTTCGCTGAACTCGCAATCCTGTGTTATCTTCCCAACTTTTTTTTTTTTTTTGTCCGTACAAAGTTTTTTGTAAGCAAAACAAAGTTTTATTTTTTTATCTTCATTGTTTTCCTCTCGCACGCATGTACTACGACTTCGGGGTAGCGTAAATTGGGGAGGAATGGCGTAAACAAAGAGAAGTTTCTTTCCCTCCTTCGTTTTAGTTTGCCACGGACGTCCTCTAACTGTAAGGTCCGCGGCCGCGTCATTCGTGTAGGATGAATGTTCGCGGATCGCGGAGTCCGCGTAGGGGTATTTGGGGTGAGCAATCACTCGGTGTTTTTTTGGAAATTGATATTCGCCCAAAAAGTGGGGTGGGCGATGACTCGGGGATGGGCGGTGACTCAGGATATTACGGTAGTATGCTATACACTAGTAACCATATTTTTGTTTTGCACTTGAAGAAGAGCTCTTGGGGGAGGGAGGGAGCGGGCAAATATTTAGTCAGCACGCCAATCAATGAGTAACTTGAAGAATGCACAGAGCATGAACGTTGACCAGGCAGCCAAGCACGCACCATCAACCATCATTGACGGTTGATGGTGGGTGAACAAACGCATGTGAGTACAGTTGGGGAGTAAAAGAACATATAAGGTGCACAAATAACAGACAAACTTGCATGCCGTCTATGTTTACAACACTGTCAAATTTAATTGTTTTGTCGGCAAATATAATAGTTTGCTTCTTTCATGTAATATCGAGTGTTAATGTGATTTTATATGCACTCACTTGAGTTTCTTCAGCTGCCCAGCTCGACGACTGATCAGTTGCAGCTGCTCCTGGTCCATCAGTGTCACACGGAGATTCCTAAAAAAAACATTACTCTCAATTTTTGTAAGAGCAAAGATGGCAGCTCTCTTGTGATTTGTGAATAACTCTTCACTACATGATTTGCCACAAAGCAATCTCGTAATCCACAAAACTTTGTCTAAAGTGCCGTCCGGCAGATTGAGACGCTGTGTGACGGCACCCCAACTATATACGCTTCGACCGCACAATCAAATCGTCCTGTCAACATTTTTGTTCTTGTTCATAATTTATGCATTACTCCCCAATATGTGCACGGAACATAATGAAATTGTTGCCAGAAACTAAATATTTTAGGAGAAAACAAAATTCTGGCTGTGTCAAGACGCCACCTCCCATTTTCGATTTTTTTCATTCTTGCAAAGCTTGTTGTCAAATATTATGCGAATTACAAGTGACAGAATTATCTAAAATTTTGTATGAATAGTAACTATCGTGACTATTAAAACAAATATTTATAGCAGTGTGAAAGTTGTATAGCGTGCGTCCGAAATCCCCACAAATGGCTAATTTGACGTTATGACACCACATTTATGAGCCGTTATTGTGCAATGTCTTTTAGCCACCTCTCTTAATCTTTTATCACATCATAAAAAAGCTCTATCAAATAAGATATAGATAATTTATTTATTGTGTAAATGAAGAATTTTACAGCTTTCCATTCATAACTAGAGGTGGAAAAAAATCTGAAATTTAAATTTCACAGGGCAATTAAAAAAATACCATCAAAGTTTGACTAATTGCTCTGCTCCACATTTTTGTATTGATCCATCAAAAACATGTTGCATCGTTTTGTCTCCGACAAAGTAACAGCGCCTAGAATTGTACCTCTCGCACCGACATTTTTGCCCAAAGCCAATCCTGAGATTATCTGTTGCTAGCCGTGAAGTTTCTACAAACTTCCGGAAATATTTTTATTTTTATTTGGGTGCATTAATAATAAAATAATCCTTATTTCTGGATGAAAATAAGAACACCAAAAGCTAATGAAAGCCAAACTGAGGCAAGTAAAAGGGTAATTAGTAAACGTTAGGTAATTACTTACCACAAAATACCGGGCAAGCGCCCACTCACACTTTAGAGATAATCGCAAAAAAATGGGGGATGGGCGCTTGCCCGGTCATCAATTTTACATATAAATGTACTGTGCATATTTTCTCAGATCTTAGAAATTTGGATATGGGCGCTTAATGTGGAATGGGCGGATGCGCGGTATTCTACAGTAGGTGAATATTTGAAAAGTGAAATTGTATGAAAACTTTGCTGTAAATATACATAAAAAGATAGAATTAATTGAGCTTTAAACAATGCCCATACCCAGTACGATCCAGCAATTGTTCCTTGTTCCTTATTATCTTTCCATTAGCCTTATGACAACCATTAAAGGGCAACTCCGCTCAATTCCGAAGATTTCGGGATAATGATTGATTTCGAATTAAAAAGTCCTAGTAAAACACACTACGTCGTTTGCTTCGCGAAAAATGGGATATATATTTTTAAATCTGATTTTAAACACGAGCGGAAATCGAAACCGAAACTTCGGCTCCGCCCGGCAACATTGGCCTCGGGTCGCCAAGTACATGGCCATCACGTGGTACGAGATGTCACGTGATCCTCGGCCTAACGACGGGCGGGATTGGGGCGGGCGTGTGGCAGGCGCGAGTGTCGTCTGCACCGCACTCTTCACCACGTTTTGGTGTCTACGGCATTAGACGACGTCTGCACAACTGCGGCATAAGTGTGCGTGTGCGCGCACGTGGTGTCCGTAGTGTGGATGAAACTCCGAGAGACAATAATCACAATCGGTGAGACGACGACAGCGGTTGTGACGCGGAAGACGGCGGTAACGGGGGGACCACGGCGGGCGGCCGGACGACTCCCAAGAAACGCGCTGCGCAGGCGCGTACGCCAATCACGTGGACACTGCCGAGCGCCGAGAGGCAACGTTGCTGACGTCATGTGCTACGCTCGCCCGGAGAAGTGAGAACAAGCAAAAGGGGGCCATGTAGATGGCGTTTAGCTCAATGTTGGCTCCGCCCATGCCGTAGCCTTGACTGTGCTGTTGGTTGCGCCTGAATTCGCCCGCTCAAGTCAGCCGATTTCGGCAACTTGGCAAGTTGCAAAGTTTGCCGGACCGTTTAAGAAACATTTAGACAGAACTGCGTCGTAAGATTTCACGTGTGGTCTTCCTAGGCGATACTGAAGAGGACTGCATTGTTTTTTCAAAACCAAAAATGACGCGGAGTTGCCCTTTAACTCGAAAAAGCATGCCTGCCCCCCCCCCCCCCCCCCCCTTCAATTTAGTTCGCCTCCCCACTGCCCCCCTATTATTAAAATCCTGGCACACTCCCTGAGCTTTGCGAATGAAACCACCGGAAGTATCGTATCGGCCATCTCTGAAGTACCGAAAATCAACATTTTGAACCGTTGCAGAGGCTGGGCAGCTGCGTGCTGAAAGACACATTTTCTGCTCGTTTGCCGTCATTCACCAAAGACGTTTCTCTTAAAACCTTGTGTAAATGGTCATAGTTGCCTTTCAGAACACGTGGAAAGTTTTACAAAAGTGCAGCACCACAGGAAAAAGGTACAATTCGTTGAACACAAGTCTCGCGGCATCATCAAAGAATATTCCTTGGCACACCAAAATACTACATCTCTGCCTTCACACACTTAGACACCAATCAGGAATCGACGCCATGTGGAGGATTTGGAACGTGTGTCGCACGTCAAGGTGTATCTGCCTCTGAAGCAGCGTTTTACTTTACATTGATGACTGTATTCGTAACTTGCGGCACTCGCGGGCCAGAAATATGTTTATTCTGTGCCGATGAAACAGAGAGACAGCGCAGTGGTGGTGGCGATCATTCTTTGTCTTCGAGACATTTTTAGTACCATATTTTTTGGACTATAGTCGCACCCTCGTATAAGTCACACATCCATATATTGAGCCATTTTCGTGGAAAAGTTGGTATATAAGTCGCACCTCTTTGCACGGTTCACGCGATGGGTTCTTTAGTTTACGCACATTGGCATCGCGAAATCGGAGTTTCGCACAACTGCTAGATCGCATGTCCCATTTGACGTGCAATTCGACTCGCGAAAAATGCCCATAATACGGTACTGTCTGGCAAGGGCAATCGAGTGTTTTGCAGCAAAAGGACGTAAACTGGGCAATATGAGAGGGTAGTCAACTTTATTCGAGCGAACGAAAGTTTGGAGCTAGACACTCGCAAACCAAGCTTTGGAGCGCTAGGCCTAGCCTAGGTCAAGTCCCAAAGACGACGCGAGCATCGATGCACAGGCCGAAAGATAAACATTGACATACTTTTTTTTGCTACCTCTAAAAGATTGGCTGGCCACAATCCTTCCTTTTACATGTAGCAACACGGCTGGAGCATGGCACAAAAAAACTGCTCATCAAACGGAAACTAAGAAATACGTGAGAAAATATTCTGCAATGCGTGCATACCAGCCCACTTACTTTTCAGTGCAACTGGACTGAAGCAAAAGAATACGGAACCATGGCTGAACAAGGAAACGTCAATAACATGCTGTAAAAGCTTTATTCTTAGTCTTTCCTATCAACATTGAGCCGCATCGGGGAAACCATAAAACTTAAAAACATCTCGCATTCCAAGTCAAAATACTGCGGCGACAGCAGTGCCTCCTGGAAAGGGAAATACCACCTACGGCTACGTAGTTATGGTGCTCTACAAAAAACAACATCGCACTTCGAAAAAAAAAAAAAAAAAAAAGAAAAAATTGTATATAAGTTGCATTGTATAGACGCTTTCAGCGCGCGCCAGATTGAGCCGCCATAGCCGACCTTCTCTTGTTTTACCGAGATGCCGAGCCACTGAAGCGGGCGTTGACGAGCCTCCACAAGGGCCTAGGCTGGGGAGAAGGTTACAGTAACACTTAAAATGGCAATAACCGGTCCTGCTGTGGTAATGATGAAGGAAGCGCACCAAGAAAGATGTTTGAAAAAAAACGCCATTTGTAGGCCGGAAAATACGGTAACCGATTTAGTAGAAGGGAACAGAAATCTATCTTTCTCTATACCCTATCCCTATCCCTATCCCTATCCCTATCCCCCCCCCCCCCCCCCCCACACACACACACACACATCTCGCGAACACTTCCGACGCCCCTGGTTCCATTGTTCAAAAGTGGCGATGTGGTTTGTAACCCATACTTGACTGCATTGCTCCATCTGTGTTTCCATGTGACATGAGCAATTTGGACCCATTCGAGTAATTTCCAACATTCTTAATAGTCCATAATAGCAACCACTGATCAGTGCAACTTACTGGAATAGCTGGGCGGTCCAGAACTCCACGACTGATATGTAAGCGGCAGAGACGTCTATGCGCGACACACTTTCAAAACTTCCCCCTCCCCCCCCCCCCCCCCCTTGAAGGGTTAACATATCCACACAGTGTCGATTCTTGATCAGTATCCAAGTGTGCAAAAGCAGATACACAGAAATTCGGTGAGCCAATTTTCCTCTGATGACGCTGTGAGGCTTGCATTCGGCGAGTGGTGCCTTTTTTCTGTGGTGCTGCCCTTTCGCTAAAGTTTCTATGCGTTCTCAAAGGTAACTCCAACCGTCTAAACACAGTTTTAAAAATCTTCTTCGGCGAATGACAGCAAAAGAGTAGAAAACATGCCTTCCAGCACGCTGCCGCCCAGCCTCTCCAACGCTCCAGAATGTAAACTTCCGGTACCCTCAAGATGGTCGATACGAAACATCCGGTGGCCGTACTCTCGCTGCAGCGACCTGCAGCGATGCGCGATCCAGCAAATTGTCAGAAGAGATCAGTGCTCTAGCCTCTCGTAACAGAACACATCTTTGAATGACTTACCTTTAATCTTGATCGCATTGCTTCGCGTGATGGGTCTTGGATTGGAAAGTTCGTTGGAACGACCCCACGCCTCAAACGATGACGGGATCGAAATCCCAACGCCCTAGCAACATTCGGATTTGTCTCGTAATCGTCATCGATGAAGTGGCGACAGCAAACGAAAATGCACGATCCTGAGCCTTGGAATTGTCCTGCAGGAATTGCCTCCAGCCAAGCCGCCTTCTCCGCTTCATTTTTTGGAAGCTTGTGTAGAGGGGCACTTTCGGGTAGGCCAGTGCTGGGACAGTCCTTCACGCAGCACCGACGCGACATCGCCCCTCACGTCGCTCATCAAAGTCCGCTGCACTTCGTCTTCAACTGCACCACTTTTGAAAGTGTTTTGGAAGGCCGGAACGCCTAAACAGAACAGTGGAAAAGACTCTTTGTGGCTATGCAGTTATGCAGTCACAGATATGGGCGCACAGGCGCTCGCGTATCTGGAGCGCCGATCAAAGCTGTGCACGCGCACTCTTCACTTCTGAAATACCACAGAAAGTTGTGCACCAGCTCGGAGCACGTGGAGATGAAGCTCGCGCTGCAGAACACAGGCAAATACTTCACTAAGGGGAATACATCTCACTCCGGGGAAATCAAACAGCGTTAGCGCGCGAACAGGTTTCGGCAAGTTCAAACGGCTGGATGGGCAGCAGCGTTAGGGTTCGTCGCAATGAACTTGGAGTGGTGCCGAGCGCTACCTATCGTCGTGGACGTGACAAGACGGATCTGTGAGAGACTGTCGCAACACGAAAACGGAAACTCAAAGGCCGTGGACTTCGAAGTGAATTTCCACTAAGTGAACACTTTATTTTATTTTACTATTAAACCAGAGGTATTCTTCCCAGGGAGGTTAGAAGTACTAGGAGGGGGCACGTTGCAATATTGGTGAAGCCTAGTCATAAAAAGTTTAAACGATTTTGTGCCCAGCGTGACCGCAGATCTGTCTGGCGATTGGTGCGCGTGACATGTCACGTGCGAGGTGGATGGTTGATTGTAGGAGGATTCCTTGCAGGCTTGCGCGCGCTTCGTCCGGTAGATTTTATCAAATCGAAGGCTAGACGAAGGCTATCTACGGTCACGTGATGTGGTGAGAGTAAGGAGGAAAATGAGAAAGAGACGAGGCGTCAAGGGAGCATAGCTTGTGGAGGCTACGCGGCTGAAATCATGCCCTCTCCTACCCTTCTTTTCTCCTTAATACTTCCAGAGTACCCGCCAAATACTTGTACCCGCCCTGATCCAAAAGGGTCTTGGTTCACCTGACTGACTGACTGACTGACTGACGTTCCTTTGGGAGCGACCGCCCTGATGCAAAAGGGTTTTGGTGCTACTGGTGAATACTGAATACTGCGGCTCGAATGGCTCAAACAGCTCAAATCAGTGTTGGCGGTAACGCGTTACTTTTTTCGGTAACGTAGTAACATACTCGTTACTTTTTTCAAGAACGGATAACTTACGTTACTTATCTCAAGTAACGTGTAATGAATGCAGTGACGCTACTCGTTACTAGGGATGTCGCGAACCACCCTAGGTTCGATTTCGAAAGGTTTCGATATTTGCGAAGCGAACTGAGGTTCGATTTCGAAAAATTTCGATATTTTCGTACCGACCGAGGTTCGATTTCGAAAAATTCGCAACTTTTGACCACAGCGGAGTTTCGAATTCGAAAATTTCGAAGCTTTCACGGTTTCTAAAATTTCGAATTCGATTATTTCGAATATTTTTTTACTTCAGGTTCGATAAATTCGAAGATTTCGAAATTCTTTGTAAAAAAATTCGAAAACTTCGAACGCTTCGAATTTTTATAGACATGAAGTTCGAACAATTCGAAGATTTCGGATTTTTTTTAGCATAAAGTTCGAAAAGTTCGAAGGTTTCGATTCTCTTTTAACGCTAAATTTAAAAAAAAAAAAAAAAAAAAACTTTGAAGATTTTGAATTTCTTTCTAATCCAAGTTTTCAAAGTTCGAAGTCCGATTTTCAAGTTTTTCCACAGTTTCAGTTTCAAATAACGTTTTCACGACTCACTGGTTTTCACAAAATCAAGTTTAGAAAAGTTAGGGTGTGATATCTAGATTCTGCGAAGTTGGTCGGGCAATTAAATGAGACGACGAGTGTCCCGGGCGTGCTAGAATATTTGCCAGTGCAGAATTGTGACCGCCAGCCCCGGGGGGGGGGGGGGGGGGGGGGGGGGGGGGGGGGGGGGGTTGGGTTCTTTAACCTGCATCACGCAGTAGTGATTGCACGAACACACTGTTTTACGAGACTCATCCAGTTCGAAACGGCCAGGGGCGGGCAGGAGGTTGAGGCTCAGAAAAACCTTGAAGCGACCTGGCAAACTAGCCCGCCACCCCTTGCACGCTGGTAGTAATCCGATCCGGTGAAGTTTGTAATTGTCCTGGAGGTTTATTTTCTGGGACGGAGGAATCGCCTCGCAAAAAAGCACAAAAGCCGACACAACTCGAGGTCGAGGAGCGTTCTACCATACAACTGGCGTCGGAAGAGGAAAAACGGGGGGAAAGAGGGTAGCGGGGGGGAGGGGGCTTCAGCCTCCTTCTTCCCTTTGCAGGTATTTTGGACTGTTAAAGAAAACAATACGGGGAAAGAGGGCGTGGTCGAGCTTATTTTAATCTGAAATTATTTATGCATATGTATAGCTAATGTCGCTCTTCACTGCATAAAAGGTTGCGTAGATGGTCATTGTTAGAAACTCGTTGTCAGAAGTTATTTATTCTTCTGCTCGTCACATGCTTAGTGGTTCGGAAGTTCAAAGCTGTCTTTTCGACCTAAACACCTGTGCCGGTAGTAACAAAAAAAAAAAATAATAATAATAAATGCGGGAATAAAAAGCAGGAGAAAAAAAAAACTATCAAGAATTCGTCGGAAGTGTTCTATTCTTGCATATTCAGAGGTTCAGAACTTCGAAACAAGTTTCTTTTACCAAAATGTGTACAGGCTAAAAGAAAGACGTCCCAGGAACGTGAAGCGAAAAAAAAAAAAAATGTTTTCATTTAATGACGTGCTGAACTTGAACATTATTAGAAATCTTCTCCCATGAGTTAATTTATTCCTTAATGTGAAAAAAAACAATAAATATATTATTTTGTATTCTGCAGATGGCAACGATATGTACTGTCTGTGGTGTTAATTTAAATGGGATACCTCAAACAACTTAGACGAAAATAAATATCAAGTTTAGGTCATAATTGCATGCAGATACATGTTTGTACATTTCTTCGAAACTCACGTTGAATAACAATAATCACATCTTAAGACGGCACTTACCTAGGCTATACATAGATCATTCTTAAAAAAAGTATAACATATCTACCATAAATAGCTCCGGCTGCAGCGTGCTTCAAATCTGGCACAAACGATAATCGTCAAAAACCCGTCGTCCTTCCTCGCCCCTTCGGAGATTTATTTCTTTAAACCTAAGCATGCCAGAACATTGAAATAAACGACATTGTCTTTCGTAAGGAACGCAGCACCGCTTGTAAAAGTTCGAGAAAAAAAAAATTACGAATGTACCCCACTACTTGAAATCAAATGAAACCGTCCGCCGGTCTTTCGAAGTTCGACGAACGTCGAACTTTTACTCTAAAAGTTCGAGTTCGTCGAACTTCTGACTTTTCAGGATTCGAAAATTCGAAACTTTTCGAATTCTCTTGATAAATAAGTTCGAAAGTTCGAATTTCATCGAATTTTTTGGTCAGTCAAGTTCGAAAGTTCGACAAGCATCGAACCTTGCAGCGCAATAAATTCGAAAGTTCGAAAAATATCGAATTTTTTAGCGTAATAAGTTCGACGGTTCGAAAAGCGTCGAACTTCTTAGCTTAACAAGTTCGAAAATTCGACCTCCGTCGAATTTTACGATGTAGACAATTCGAAAAATCGAAATCTTTCGAACCTTTCGAACCGCTTGATTCGATCATCGAAACTTCGATTCGAAAAAAGTTCGCGGCATCCCTACTCGTTACTACATTTGAATTTTTTTCGTGTTTTGTCGTCAAGCCATGTGGAGTTTTGAGTTGTTTTGCATTTTTTTTTTGTTGCATATTTTCTTGTGAGTATTTAGGTGAAACCGTTAAAAGATAAAGTAATTATGTTCAGTTTGTGCATGAACATAGTGTTAGGTCAGAACAGTAAATCGTGTTCACTCGTAATTTAAAAAGTAATGCAAAAGTAACGTGCGTTACTTTTTATCTGTAACGGTAACGCGTTCCTCTTATTTTGAAGTAACGTCTTAAAATCGAAATTCCCGACAACCAGATCTACAGGGTGATTCAAGGAGACGCCAGGCTCTTGAAATCGACCGCAAAATTCGGTTTCTTAAACTGACACTGACACTGACACCCCCCCAAATTTTTTTTTCATTTTTTGCCAGGCGCTTTATTATGGTGTCGGAAGACTACCCAATTAATATTTTGCAACAAAGTAGCGTATTTTTTTAATAAAGCCAAAAGACGCAACTGCTCGAAACCGAAACCGAAACCCGACGGAGGTCGGAGAAGTGGAGAGAAGAGAGTGAGATGCGGAAGTCACGTGGCTACACCCAACCGTGTTTTTTTTTTTTTTTCTCTCTCTCTCTTTGTAGCAGACGACATGCGGCGTACGGGAACTGTTCGCCGCGAGATTCTTTTGCAGTTATGTATGTTCCGCTGGTTGTTCTGTACTCCAAGATGAGTTGTTTTGTACATTGAGGAGTTGGAGATGAGTAGTGAGAGCCCGTGGTGAATTTCCATGATCCGCTCCGAAAAGAATACACCCAAGATGTTGCGTGAAGAGCTGGCTCACATGTCCTGCGTCCGAAAAAAAGTGGCATTGTGCGACAGAGTTTCCGAAAGATCAACGGGATCGAGACCAATGGCTGGCTGCAATTCCTGTAGACCATTTACGGGCACCTCGGAAAGCGGACGCTACCTGATTTATATGCTTCTTGCATTTTGTGGAAAGTGATTACATTGAGTTCGCAGGTGTCAAAAAGGAAATCCGATACCATTTAATTCAGCGACGTGTCGTCCACAACATTTGTTTATTTTTTTTTTGTTTCTTCAGTGATAATTGAGAAAAAAAAAAAAAAAAAAAAGAAAGGTTTCACGGGGGATCGAACTTGGTAAAGAAACCGTACGCGTGCATATTCAACTCGAAGTAGACACGTCGTGCTTGACGTTTGCGCGAGCGATGTCTTCAGCCACGAGAAGGGAGCGACGGCTCGGCGACGTCTTCGTGCAAATCGGCTTGGTGGTCGGGCGTGTCGTACGGGATGAATACCAATTCTTTTGATCAGTCCTAAATTTCTCTTTTAAAGGCAGACAAAATTCGCCGGTACCGCGAACGACAGTTCTGAACTAAAGGTCCCACGCCCGTCGTCCGCTGCCATCGCCGTCCCCGCGAGTCGAGTCCCACGATGCGCGAAGCGACGCACGCACAGAATGCTTCCGGTTCTCTGTGGAACTTTTTTTTCAATCAGCGTATTTGCAGCTTTTTAGAAGCCACAAAAAATGGGTTTCATATTTTTTTCTATTTTTAATATTGAGTGTGTGCCTTCAGTGACCCACGACTTTGATTAAATTTGGTGGTCGCATCGATACCTTAGAAAACGGCCCGTGACCGCGGAAAAGAGAGTGAGCGAGACTCGAACCGGCCAGTTCTTGATCGGCGGTTTTCGGGCGGAAAGAAATCGAATTTCGAGCTGCAAATTCTGTTCTGGGTAGTTGAGCTCTCACATGTCACGTACAACTAAAAACCTCGGCGAGCATAAATACCCTGTCAGTGTCCCTTATCGCGCTACTACTTCGTGCAGCGTTGCCCACAAATGGTGCTTTTTTCTTCTTTTTTTTTCTTTTTTTTTTTGTGTGTGTGTGT